CACACAGGTGCCTGTGTGAGGGCACCTGATAAAGCTGCTGAATTTGCTGAATTTGCATCATTCCTTTGGCAACCACTGGTTTTGCTCAGAAACCAAGAGGGACAGAGTTGTTACAGTCTCTGGGTACTGGATGTCAGCTTTTATAACCAGTGTCATCCAGACAAAGCACAGAAGACTTGGTCAAGGTGTAGAACAGCATCTTGGCCATGTAACGGTAACAGTGTAGCCAAGAGAAGATGGTACCAAGGCAGGTGGGAACAAGCCCCTGCTGGCCTGTATCCTCATCTTCTACGAGGGGGGGGGGTTCTGAAAGGAGAACTAGAGGCCCAGGTGTATCATTTATTATATTGTGGTAATATTCAAATACAGTATATTATTTATAATTACAAAGAAAATCAGCAGAAGATATAATAATTATCATGTAACTTTCGAGCACTGGAAGTGGAGGAAGAGCTGGAATAAACAAAAGTCAACTAAAACACCATTTTCTTGCCAGGGTTGTAAATGGTCTAAAGTTAAGCAAAGAAACTGAGAAATAAGCATCATGCATGGAGGTGATGGAAAACAGCAGAAGAACTAAGCACAGAAATCTTTTTTTAAGTGACTGGGACTGAGAGCAGGGAGGGCTGAGGTGCAATGTCTGATTTTGTCCAGAGCTGCGCAGCTGACTTGCGCAGGTTACCTGGATAAAAAATTAACACACAGATGGTGCTGTCACGATATGAAGATATGGGCATACTCCTCTTTTATAGGCAAAACTGAGCAATAGTCTCAGTATTATTTTTTGGCCAGCTTTCAGATAATTGACTTAGAATCATTTACTCTTATTTTGCGCTTCAAAGGCCTTAGAAACTGCTTGGAAAAAAATTCAAACTACTAAGCAGAGATATTTTAGAAGAGGGAACAAGGAGAAAGGGAGGAAAATAACTCCAAGATCACCTCCTTGAGGCCAGCAGTAGTGGAAATAGCGCGCATTACGTTTAACTGCCAAGAGCATTGGTACTGACCTAGGTACTAGCTACATACACAGAAATACTTCCTGTCACCTTTCAGGCCCGCCTGGTCCTGCTGGCCTCCTGTGGTTCCTGGTCTCTGCCTCTCTCTCTAGGGTCTGTTTACTAGCACCAAGCATTTGCCATTCTTCATTTCACTTCACTTCCCACCTGTTTTAAATTTTTTCAGATATGCAATACTATCTTCAATGGATTATTTATCGGCTGCTGCATTGACGAAGGGCACACCATCTGCACGGGGGAGACGGGTGATGTTTTTTGTTTTAACCCAGAGCCTTGGGTCTTAGCATCAAATCCACATTCCTCATTCTCTCTCTCTCTCTCTTTTTTTTTTTTTTATGAGCGGTAAGGGTAACCCTTGACTTGGTGTCGTCAGCACCACTTCTCCCAAGTGAGCTAACCGGCCATCCCTATATGGGATCCGAACCCGTGGCCTTGGTGTGATCAGCACCGCACTCTCCCGAATGAGCCATGGGCGGCCCTAACATTCCTCATTCTGAGGGAGCCCCTGGCAGAGAGGACTAGGAGTAGTTCCCTCCTGGTGCAGCCGTCAGTCGAGTGCAGACAAGCAGCTGGGAGTGGAGGGCCTGCTTTGCTCTGTTTCTCTGTCCCACGCGAACTTGCATTGTCCTTCTCATGCAGGAGTCCTTATGGCCCCGCCTGCTCGTGAGAATTAAAAGCCTTCCGAGACTAAAGGAGTCCTTCTTAGGGTTAGAGAATTGCGTCAAGCTCAGATGCACTTCAATGAGCCATGGGCGGCCCTAACATTCCTCATTCTGAGGGAGCCCCTGGCAGAGAGGACTAGGAGTAGTTCCCTCCTGGTGCAGCCGTCAGTCGAGTGCAGACAAGCAGCTGGGAGTGGAGGGCCTGCTTTGCTCTGTTTCTCTGTCCCACGCGAACTTGCATTGTCCTTCTCATGCAGGAGTCCTTATGGCCCCGCCTGCTCGTGAGAATTAAAAGCCTTCCGAGACTAAAGGAGTCCTTCTTAGGGTTAGAGAATTGCGTCAAGCTCAGATGCACTTCACGAGGGACAGGTCTCTGACCATTTCTTTTGAACCCACTGTCCTTCCTTCAGCCAACCCTCTCATTTGGGGTTCCCTCTCATCCTTGCCTGGTGTCACACTGTCCCAGGGCTGCATTCACTTGCAGAGGCACTGGCCACGGGCAGAGAAGTAAGGGCTGAGCCTCCCACGTAGGAAGCCAGGTGGGTGACACCCATCTCTCTCTCCCACCCCTGAAACTGAGCCTTACAGACCCTAAGCCCTCACAATCATTTCTGGGGCATTGAACTGGGATGGCAACAGCAGTTGTGGCTTCACTGAAGAAAGCAAAATAGCTGGCAAGGCCTGGTGCGTGTGCCTCTGATTTGTGTGCAGATAGCTTTGCAATTCACAATGTGTTCTGGCCTGCAGCTTCTGCAGCAAAAGAAAAATGCCCTTCCATTGAAAACGTGGCTTCCTTTTTCCCATTGAAGTCAATATCAACATTTGCTTTAGTGGGGGCCAAAGGGTGGAGAGCCCAACAGTTCGAAATAAAAAATAAAAACGACAGTTCAAAATAAAAAATAAAAACAGGAACACGCACAGCAAAGGAGATAGTCTTCTCCCAGACTGATCACACTTCCCTCCTGCATTCTGACGCTTGCTGCCTTCTCTTGGCTGGTCAGTGTACAGAATGAACTTGGAATCTACGGATATGATTTCTGAAAAATGCTGGCATCTCCAGAAAGACAATTTGTTTATTTCCAAATAAAAATTTAAGAATTCTGTTTGAGAAGTCACCCGGAGGTCTACATGGAACAGGATGATGCCTTTCTAAGACTTTCTGAAATTAGAAGGGGGCAAGGTGAACACACAGGGCCAGGTGGAGGCTGGGGGCCGGCTGACAAGGTATTTAGCTCAGACCTCTTCAGTTTTACAGCTTGGAAAACTGGTCTTGACCATCACGTAGGCCTCTTTGATCATGCTGTTCCCTCTGGCTGTCACTCTCCGGCCACCCAGTGGCCATTCTCCCTTTCTAATGGTACCTGAAGACTCCTTCAGGAAACCTCTCCTCTCTCACTCGCTCCTGCTCCAGGGGTGGACCCTGGTTGGCTTAAACCAGTCAGCTTTTCCCATCAACCTACTCGCCTCCTCCGCTGGTTCCCAGATAAACCGGTAACCCAGTCAGTTCTATGAAGAAATGGGTCATCTAGGACCCCTGAGAAAGACAAGCTTCCTCCTTCTTCCAAGGTGCCCCCAGAAAAGATGTTCATGCTTCGTCTGGAAGGTTTGAGGGGATCCGAGGTCCGGAGTCCCTGCAGCCATGTGGCCACCACAATGAAGAGGCTGGAGTGTCCTCTGAGGAGGATCGGGACTGGAAGGAGAGACAATGTGGGGTCTGAGAAGGAAGCTGAGGCAGAGAGAAACCTGCACCCTGGAGTCCTTGTCTGGACCCTAGATCAACACTCACCGTCTGAACATTTAATGACATCACTCCGTGAGATGAAGGGAAAGCTATAAGAAAAATCCAATTTGGTCTGCCCTGGCCACAGTTACCTTAATTAGTCTCTATTTTTAATGTAATGAAAGGAATAAACCTAAGGGTGGCTGGCCAGGAAAATCATAAGCTTTCAGGTACAGTTGGTTACCACAATTTTTCTGCTAGTAGAAAATGGTGTTATGCCACCGATTTGCTCTCTATCTTGAGAGCACGGGCTATGAGGAGAAAGAAAGGCACTCACATAAATTTTTAAAAGGCACTAAGGTGCTGTATCTGCTAGTAACCACCGTCTTGACATCTTGTTTTTTCAGAGAGTGTGAGCTCTTTCTCTCTGTATTGGCTCAGTCCTCTGCTTGCTGTGAGCCTTATAATTTTGTGAAACATAAATATGTATATGGAACTGGTTGGGTACACTCTTCACTGTAAACCTTCCTTATCTACATTGGCATTGCTTTTGAATAATCTTTAAGCAAAGAGGCATTGGGAACCTCAGATAGAATAAGGAACATTTTCCCCTGAGTGTGGGCTTTATTTTTCTGAGTAAATAGATGCTTCCAAAGTGGCCAAGTCTCCATTTGGTGCATCTGAGTAGGAGTTTGATATTTGCACTAAAAAATACTATTCCTAGAACACCAAGAGGTGATTCAAGAATTTTCTTATAAGTCAGACTTTAAATAAATTATTTTCATATTCATGAGCAGATCATTTATCTAGTATACTCTAAGCATGGAAAAGCGAAAAAAGAGCATCAGTCATCAACTTTACCTTTTCTGTGGACATGTCTTTGATACATGAGAAACTTAGGTGACGTGGTTTAAAAAGAAAATAGATCAGATATAAGGCCCTCAGGGGAACTAACTGTCCAGACCTTTCACATCGAGGAGTTAGAACAGCCCAGCCTTGAAAAGGTCTCTGATAGGGGGTGATGTGTGAACTGGACTCACGCTGCGAGTCGGCGGGTTTCTGGCTGGTTGGTGGCCTCGCCAGGCACTGGCATCCACACCCCGAGCAGCCTCACCGCTCTCTTCCCCACATGGGATCTGCGGCAACTCTGCTCACCTGTGAAAGGTGTTTCTCTAGAAAAATGGCAAGTTCTCTCCTACCCTCCCCCTCACCTCCGTAAAGACAATGAATACTGCCGAGGGAAATGGGGAGAAAAGGGAAAGATGTAACACAGGGGTGGAATTTATGATCAGTCCCTGTTGCACATCGAGGTTGCTGTGGGCGTGCAGCCTTCAGCGGACCCGGCACCTGCCTGAGCCTTATCCTCCCCTCTCTTCTCTCATTTCTTCACCTGCCTGAGCCTTATCCTTCCCTCTCTTCTCTCATTTCTTCGTCCTCTCAGTATTCATAGACTACCTGCTACGTGCCGGGCCCTGGTCTAGGGGCCAGGGATTCCCAGTGGACTGAGCAAAGCCCCTGCCTTCATGGAGCTTCCGTTCTGACGGGGGACAGAGGAGGAAGACAGACAATAAGACATAACAGTTGGTCATTTTAGTCAATTCATTGGGACGAATCAGGCAACTTTATTTTGATTTTATGGACAAGACTTTATGTTCAATTACGTTAAGATACAAACTCTGCCTTTGCTCAGTCTGGTGTGTTCCTTAGAGCAGCGTTCAGTATGAACTGGAGGCAAAGGGGAGCGAGGCCTCCTCCGCTCGCTGACGGCTTTTCTCTGCAGATCCATCAACCTCTTCACCCCTCCGTGTGGCGATAACACCTTCCAGTCACTTCCTGGGCTAATCTAAGAACCAGACTGGGGTGAGCTATGGGACAGTGGCTGAGGAAGCTGATGCAGACTAAGGGGTGGTGGTGGTAGCAGCAGTTCCCTGGCTGGTGGGCTTGGTTGGTGAAAGGTTGGTGCTGGTAACACCAAGGTACAGGGTTTGATCCTTGTACCAGCCAGCCTCACACACACACACACACACACACACACACAATCAACATAGGACATGTACAGGCGTACAGTCACTTATCCCTGAGTTTCTTGCCAGTTTCTAACGGGGTCCAGATTCAACTTAGTACAGCGCCACTGACAATGAAAGAAAATGTTTGAGGCACTCAACTAACTACATACCTAAACCTGTTGATTGTTGACAGACACTCTTCCCTATGGGTCCATTCACTTCCTGGTGTGACCCCTCCAGCAATGGGCATCACCAGACCAGATCCACCAGTGTGAAGAAACTTCATCTCAGCCTGTGCCTCTGCGGGAATTCTTAGTCAATTTGGGCTCTGAACATTGCATTTGCTTTGTGTTCTTTGGCACCAGCATTAATATTTAAAGACGTATAAATGGTTGTCGGCTGAAAATGAATGGGTGATTGGTAGAATGAGACTGTGGGTAAAATACATCTTTTTCGATTCTCAATCTGTTTTGGACTAAAGACAAAAGACCATATTAGTAAAAGAAAAATTGGCCTAAATGTGAGAACAGTTGGCTTTAAAATAGATATAGATATAGATATAGATCGTTAAGTATTCAAGGAATGGCAAGAGGCCAGGAAAGCACTCAGTGGAGTGCTCCATTCTGCTCCCCCTGTCTTGTTTGCAGAGTGTGTACTTTTTGTCTTAAAGTGCCATGCCCCCATGGTGAGAAGCCTATCTGCACTTTAGTGGTAGTGTTTCTTCCTTTCTATGTAAATAAAACAGTTAAATACAAAGAGTGCAGAATTGCAATTTGGAGAACAGATAAGCAGACTAATAAATGTTAAGCTAACAGAAGCCTTTCCCCTCAGTGACCTTGTCCTTGTCAGTCATAACCCAACTCAGCTAAAAGCTAATTGACTTTATAATTCCCCAAACGTGACGGTGAGGCTGGTGAAGAGAACAGGATCAGAAATCATGCAAGGGGTGGAGTGATTCTACATAGCTTCTTCTATAATCGAGAGATTAAAAAATTCTTTTCCGTCTAAAAACGATATATGCCATGACACAGCAATAATAGGGATAAACTGTTGTTGCAAGCAACACCACAGCAGAATCTCAAGAATATGTTGAGCAAAACAAGCCAGACATAAAAGCGTATATACCGTATGATTCCATTTACATGAAGTTCAAGAACAGGCAAAATTAATCTTTGGAGAGTTCAGAACAGTGCTTGCACCTGCAAGGGAGCTATTGACTGGAAGGAGGCATGAGGGAACTCTCTGGGGTGATGCCGACATCCTGTATCTTGATCTGGGTGGTACGTATAGACATGCGCACACGTATGTCATTGAGCTGCACTTTAAGATCTGTGCACTTTACTACATGTAAGTCATGTCTCATTTATTTTCTAAAAAGGACATCACATTTAGGAGCCACCTGAGGGCACATTTATAAAAATAACAATGATCGATATATTGATAACATTTGCCAGTCTACAAAAAACTTTCACATAATTATCTCTTGATTCCTGCGAGCATCTTTGGTT